TCAAGAGTCAGGACCACACATAACCAGAAAGGCCACTGTTAATGACAGTTAACAACCCATGACAATGGGTGGAGAAAGACTGCAGAAGTGGAATTTTCACTCACCCCCAGTCCTTCATACTTTTTATACAGAGTATTGCTGTTGGCATAGCTATTTCTTCCTGCTGGAATAACCCATCAGCAGAAGCAGCTTTAGGAGCAAAACTGTTGGTAACTGTTTTAAAAAGGGTCATGAAAACCTTAAGAAAATAATGAGTCAAGAGTTTCTAACCTTCCTGCCTTTTTCTTGTTGCTAAAAGCTGCCCTCCCCCATGAAATTGTTTTATCATTGTGGAACATGCACAAAGCTTGGATATCTCATCTGGATTGGCTTCATAGGCTTTCTTTTTTCACCACAAATCTTGACGACCTGCAAAAATACAATATTGGCAGAGTTTTCTTTGACCTGTTTGTCTCTCTTGACTTGATGCTAGAAAGATCAAGCCATGGGAGACTTGTCAGCACAAGGGATATCCTTTCAAAAACAGGACAGCGAGTTCTACTTTTTTTTATTGTTAAGCTTTACAGATTTTTTTTCTACAGTCCCACCAAACTTCTGTATTCTGAAGTTTGCATTATTACAAAGAAAAGCTGCCACATATTGCACAAAATAGATATCATAATGTATTTAACTGATATATTATTTGTAAACTATACAAAAAATATTCTGCATTTCTAATGCTAAAATAGCCATGAGCGTTTGAAAATCACAAAGCACACTTTCACTTCAAATCTGCCATGTATTGGTGTAAGTAAAATGTATCTGCACAATCTGAGAACACAAACAAATTCTGACTTAAAGGTAAAGATTGTTCACTTGCATGTTTACAAACGCAGACACACACACAAAATTCTGACTTAAAAGTAAAGATTGTTCACTTGTATGTTTACAAACGCAGACACACACACAAAAAGCTTCCATAACCAAGAGGGATTTAAAGCCAAGTTTTCTGAATCCTAGCCCGACACTCTCTCCACAGCACTTCACTTTCATTTCTAAGCCACCTATTACATGTATGCTATGCACCATTGAGTCACTTCTGACTTGTGGAGTCCCCAAAAAGGTTTTCAAGATATATGAAATATTCAAAGAGTGATTTGCCATTTCCATCTCAATTTAAGCTTCCATAACCAAGAGGGATTTAAACCCAATACTCTCTCCACAGCACTTCACTTTCATTTCATGCCATCAAGTTGATTCTGAATTACGGTGACCCTTGCCAGGATTTCTTAGGTATCCAGTACTCAACAGTAGTTTACCACTCCCTTCTTCCAGAGCACTCTGAGACTGTTCAGCTTGCGCAAAGCTGGACAGGCTGGCTCATTTTGCAGAAGGTACAGTGGGGAATCAAATTACCAAACCCTGACTCCACAGGCAGGACCTCCAACGTTTAGTAGCCTGTTTTGCATTTTGCTTGTGGCACTGAAGCCTCTCAGTGGATAACACCATAGGCATCTAGGAAGGAAGAGCACAGAATGGCAAAAAATAACACGTTCTCTTTAACTAAGCATTTATAGCCCTTCAAATAAGAAGAAGTTATATTATTTAAAAAGAGAAAAAGTTACAATGAAAACAGTAATGACATTACCAGACATTACTTTCTGGGGAAACAAACACAATGCCCTTATTGTCCCCACATGTAACATATTACAGGTAATATTACTTGTGGTACACTACTTTCAACTTCCAAAACTAAAATAGAGTGTTTGGATCTTTTAAAAACATCAATCAGTTATGTGCTTGCTATATGTACACATTGCTTCTTAAAAAGGAAGGACATTAGTTTGAGTCAGAGGGATTTTCTTTGCCCTTCCCCTCAAAGGAACATCATCATCATCATACTGTAATGGGAAAGTGATAACAGTACTATCAGTATTGAAACAAGATGTCAACTCGCCACTCCATCCCTCTTTAAATATGGTGACAATGTTACCATATTAAGCACATCTTGGAGGCTTCACCATCAGTCACAAAATAAATTAGTTTAATTTTCTAAGCTGAGTCCAATGACTTGTAGATGCATAGACTGTGCATGCATAGGCAAGGCAATAAGGAAAAGACTCATTTTTGCATCCTAGTCATTAACTGTATTATATGATATTTTCTATTTTTTCACACTCGCCAACGTAGATATATTGCCTTACATCTATTACAAATTTCTCCCAAGTCATCTGATAATAGTATTTATCATAGCAGTTCATCATTATCTAATGGCCATCTTGTATGAAAATGTCTGGCTGTGTGACAAACAATAGTGTCATTTTTTTATGAATAAAAAAAGTTGTTTTGAAATGGAAGCTGCATAGTATATATTCCCTTTCTCACTGATACCTCTTTAAGATGAACAACTGATGACAGTTATCATAGTAACAACTCAGTGTTCTGAGATTCATACAAAATGAATGTTCATTTCCCTCAGAGATGAACCAAACTAAAGCAATACGACAGCATTGTATGAAAGGTGCCCTTTTACAGTGTGTAAAAAGTCACAAAAAAGGAACAAAACCCTTCCCTATATTCCTGGTTAAATCAGTTGTCATATTTGCTTATCCTCCAACTTACTATTGGTTAGTATCTAACCACCCCAAGTTGAAGAAGCTGATTTAACTAACTAGTATAAATCTTTGTAGCAAAATGTCACTGATAATTCCACTTGCGAATTATCTGCTGCAGAGTTTTCAATTTCTGGTTAAATTCCTCAAGTTGTGCAGCAGAAGTGCATGGATTCACAAAGCAGAATAGCTTTGTTTCCCAGATTAGTCCACACCTTTTCTCATTAACTGGCACTTAGAGTCTCAATAACTCAGACATTATTGGAAAAGGAATTTTAAAAAGTATTTACAGATCAACAGCAAACTGAAAAACATGACTGTTTTCAGCAACAAACTTCAACAACTCAAGAGGGGGGGAAGCACTGAGCAGGGCTTTATCTGAATTCAGAAGTAGGTGGGGACAATTGGTTAATGCTAGATACGTAGCTTGACAGTTACCTCAGCCCAGAAGGGTTCCTCCCAGCTACAGCTTCTACAAGTAGCATGCACGGTTGTAAAAAATTCCAACATGACCATGAGTGCATCAAATGCTTGAACATGAGAATGTAATATTGGCAGGCTAGCATAGGATAAATGGAAGCTGCTTCAGACTGAGTCAGGCCACTGATCTATTTAGTCTTGTATTCCCTCTACCACAAGTAGTAGCAACACTTCAAGATTTCAGAGGATATTTACATATGGAATGTATTGCTTCTTTGCCTTTGGAGATACATTACTGGTGTATTTCCAAAAGCAAGGTAACAATAAATTCCAAACGACATGAATTTAGACCCTACTCAGCTCTCCAGAAATCATGATGGTTTTCTCAGAAAAAAGAGGAGCATTTCTATGTCTTGGGTACTTAATACAAATTATTTTCCCGCATCAGAGATTATGTATGTGTCACAAGAGTCTTCTAAACATTACAATCCTCCTCCTGCCAAAACAACCAGGCTCTGCTTTGCTCTGCCACCACTGGATTCCATTTATCTTCACAGTTTAATAAACACTGGTGAACAATTTCCAAGTAATTTAATTCTCATAGGACCTGAATGTACTTGCTGATGTTTATTGTTTCATAGCATTGTGTCCTTTTTCTGAGAGGATGAGGTTCTTTTTCTTCAAATCACTGTATTTCACACTGCAAACTAAAACTACAATCACTCAATCTATTTTTCATTGTTTTAATCTATGCCCCTGTTCCTGTTTTAATTTCCATGTTTCATGTCAATTTTAATTCCTATTGTCATATGTCAGCCAAAACAGCAGAGTAAGTTCTTTGGAAAATTGGAAAATCCATATAACTGAGCATCTTAAAGTACCAACAAGGCATTAGCTGAACCATAAAGTGATATGCCAAAACCATGGTGCCATGTCAGCAAAGACCCTTTTTTGTATGTAGAATATTTATGTATTTCTGTCATAGATAAGGTCACACATGAGTATCTTGATGTCAGGCAGGTTCATACAAAAAATATTCCTCCAGATATTTGGCATGTATGTTGAGATTGACCATTTCTAAATACAACTGAATTGAAGAGGGTTGGTGTAGCATTACAGCCAGATAACTGGCTTGCTATTTGGTTTATTCTTCAGAGTTATATCCCAGCTTTGCTCCACTGAATTTAAAGCAGCATACATAAGGTTTCCTTTATTCATTCATTTGATTTATATTTCATCTTTCTTCCAATGAGTCTCTTTGTCTCCACTTTTATCTTTAAAACAACCATCTCAGAAAGGTAAGATTTAAGAGTTATTGGCCCATTTTCCAATGAACATTATGGCCAAGTGGAGATTTGAACAAGCTTTATCTTGAGCCTTGCCGAACATGAACCTTTGTCCAGACTGATTGGTCAATAAGTCCCATTAAACAGATATACAGAAGACTATGCTCAATCTCCATCCAACCACCAAATATTCAGCACAACACTTATTTGCTTTGTTACCTTACCATTACCCCCCCCTTTGTGACACAATGAAGTAAACAAGACGCAAAGTAATATGCCAATGTTTATTGACAGGTGGTATTGTTCAAATTGTTTCAGCCTCCTTGATTCTGGGTAAGTCATCTTGGGTGTTACTCTTCAGAAGGTTTGTGGGTGTGGTTTTTTTGGCAGGTGTTGAGAGGCCCACAATGAGAGGAATGAGAAGTGTCCAAGACCATGGAGCTTAGTCTTTGTGGCCTCTTCTTCTCCTTCTCCTCCTGTGACCGTGTTTGTGACCACCTAGATAAGAAAAATAAAACATGGTCAAGTCTTATACCTAAGCTGTGTTATGAGAGAGCTGCTAACACATAAAAAGCTATGCTTTCAATATAAACATAATTTCTTTAAAAAAATTACCTTTTCTTCTTCTGCCATGGCGTCTCCTCCTCCTCCTTCCACCTTTACCTCCACGTCGCCTCCTCCGTCGGCGGCGACTGAGGCTTCGGCTCCGGCTGCGTCTGAATCTTGCCATTTCAGATGGTGCCTCTTTCAAGCTCTTGGCAGCTGGAGCACCACCTGTTCTTGATGGGCCTTTCAGAGCTTAAGGTCCAAGACTGCTGGTCTGGCCTTTTTATAAGCACCTGTGGAGGTCTCACAATGGCTAATGACATCATGTTTCTACTGTGATGGCATACAATGCCTTATCTCTATATATAGCTGGTCAGTGATGAGGTCCATGTGATAGCCCATATATGGCAAATTAAGCTAGCTATCATTTGATTCTGAATTATGATGAATTCAAAGCTCAAGCTCAAAGTTTTATCTGTGTATAAATTATAATAAAAATATTAATCATTGTTCATATTGCTAAAGAAGTACATTGTTTTAAAACGATAACTTCATTAAAATATCTTGCATAGTTAGATTTAAGAAATGTGTGTTTGAATTTAACTATGGGTTTAGCAAAATGTTTTCTTCTTTAATCTTTTTGTTATTAAGAAAACAACCAAAAATTTAAGGATATACTGTAAATGTATTTTAATGTCAAAACTATCTTTGAAAATATTTTCCAAAATTATTTTTAAAGTTACATGTAATTCTCTAAGGCTTTCACAGCCGGGATCCGATGGTTGGTGTAGGCTTTTTGGGCTGTTTGGCTATGTTCTGGAGGTTTTTCTTCCTAACATCTTCCTAGGTAGTCACCGCACACAAAAGACTAGCCGACGATACCCATCGATCACAGTGACAGATCATCTCCCTCCTTATCACAACATACACCCATAACAAAAAACACCCTGATCACCATAATTACCCAATCTCCTAAAAAGGACAAAAAGCTGATCCCACAGCTACAAATACTCAACGACACTGCACCAGAACACAGACAGAGTTCTGACTCCTGTCCTCTGAAGATGCCAGCCACAGAGACTGGCAAAATGTTAGGAAGAAAAACTTTCAGAACATGGCCAAACAGGCCAAAAAACTTACAACAAACATTGAATCAAAGTTGACATGTAATTACTTCCAAAATTATTTATTCTTGATTACATAGACCAACATGTTGGGAAAAACTGTCAAACAATGACACTTCCAGCATTAACAGGAAAAACACCATGTCTACTTTGCTCATTTTGGAGTGGGCTGATGAAGGTGAAATAGGGCCACCTGGGGTCAGGTGGAGGTGCAATATGCCTTTTGGTATGACCCTCACACTCAAATGGTATATTGGAGCTCAGGCAACCGTATTTGGTCCTGCTCCTTCCATTCTGAATTTCTGATTTGGTGAAGTGACTTAATAAGCCATCCACTTCAGGATACAGGTAAACTGAATTCTTCCTCTGCTCCTTAGCAAAGGGGCAGGGGAAGTGACTTTTTTCTGACTGTGGTATAGCATTGCTGTTTTACTGCATCACTTACAAATCAATTTAAACATTTTTTGCTGTGCCTTAAAGTCTGTGGATTTGGCTGCCGGCATTTTCTCAACTTGTCCTTGAGACAAAAGAAAAAAAATATATATATTTTTTAAAAAAGTTCTTTATAAGTGATGCAGCACATCAGCAATGGTATACTTGGAAAACAATTTCACTTCTTTACCTCCACTGAGGAGCAGGGGAAGTGTTCAATTTGCCAATATTGTGAAGTGACTCACTTAACAAGCCAGTTCAAATAATCTGAATTTCAAAACAGAAGGAGCTTTGACAGCCAAAAGCTCACTTTTGGTCCAATCCCTGCAATCACACACACCAAAAATGAGCCAAATCAAAGCAAGACTACTCATACTAAGTAGATGCCCCTTCCAGGGGCTCGGGAAGGTGCAGGAAGGGATGCTCTGGGGACAGTTTGGTTCACTCCAGCAATGACATCATGATTATGAGAAAGAAGAGTGAACCTACCCATCCCCACTGCAGAACAAACAGGGACAATTGACAGTGTGCTCACTATCACAGAATGCTTTTCTTCTATCAGTCTGCACAAAACTATTACATCTCTCACACTGTGTAAGGGGACAAAAAAAATTGCCTCCAAAACAGCAAAGAAATCCATTGAGACTTTGAGCGTTAACGCACACATACACGCACACGCACACACAAACACACAAGGCAAGGCAAAGGCAATTCAGAGGCTTGCTGGGCAAGATTATGGGAGGCATTCAATCTGCAGCACCTGGAATTTAACAGCAGTAATGTAGAATTCAAGAGGCTTCATAAAGATTTATGTACAGTGAGGGTCATTTTTAATAAAAGAAATACCAAAAACAGTCATGTATTCAACTGATAGAAGCAAAGTTCTGGATTAGGCAATATGTTTAACAGATCACCAAACAGTTACAAATGAGCTATGGAGTTATACAGAATTCTTCATCAGGCAAAGATGGCACAAAAGTTGGGTTTCAAACAGAAAGCCCTAAAATGGAGCTACACAATTATGGTCATGGCTCATGTAATCAGATTTCTAGGAAATCAATATGGAGTTTTAGATTCTGGATGAGAGGTAATAAAGACATGAGATGTGATGTTTGTTACCTGTCTCTCCTAAAATCAAAAATTCCATTTAGCCTTCCTGGAAGCCCAACATCTGGCTCAACTGTTGACCTTTCTACTTTAACCCCAAATGTTATGTCAACTTGCCCTATATCATCTTCTCCTTGTTTTCAATTTTTCTATCATCCAGTAAAGGTGTTGCTTTACTGGATGACAGTAAAGGTATTGCCTGATCCAGAATTTTGCTTTTTTAAAATGATAAAAAACCCAAATAAACAAACAGAAGAATGCGTATTTGATATCTTTAGGCGTAAGCACCTTTATCATAACATTGATAACTTAACAAAACTTGCTAGAAGGGTTCCTGTATTCTAGAACAATTTCCTTTATCTTTCAAGCACTGGCAAACATTCTCTAGAGCAGCTATTCTCAACGGCCGAATGGCCCCCTGGGGGGCCCCTGGCTCATTTGAAAGGATCACAGACTGGAAACAATTCTTCATACGGTTCATATAAGGTTCATTATGTGATCTATACAATGTGATCTATACAATCCTGATTGGACCTATATTTCTTTCACATTGTATTTATGATTGTAGCAAAAAGGCGAGAATGGCTAAGTTATAGAGTAGTTCTGAAGTATGCAGGGAAAAACTTTCACAGAGGAAAAGTGGCTATTCTTGATCATATCTGGGAGATCTGGATGGTTCATGTTACTTTTCACATTGTTATCCGCTGCATTTTACAGCAGCCATAAAATAACTTTTACATTTATTTGAATACTGAACTGTACAGAATATTCTTTCAGAATAGCACATGCTAAATGAAAATAGCCTGAATAGTTTCAACTAACAGATCTATCACTTTTCATAGATCTTTTAGCCTGGGCACCAGTTCTATCATGATAGGTAGACCTGATCTGTGCAAAATCAACACTAGTGTTTACTCCTCTGTCTCTTTTTGAGTAGACCTGATGTTGGAAAAATATCTTTAAACAAGCAGCTGATGTCCACAATTCCTCCCCATTGTTTCCTTCACCTCATGTAATGGCTTTCTATCCCTTAATAAATTGCACTGTAGCTACAATCAGCTTCACAGCTCGCCTCTATAGTTTCCTCCAAAATGTCAAAATGCTAGAAAAGGGAATGGCAACACTGGACCTTATACTATTGTCATGGGAGTGGGAATAACAACACTGGGCTACTCAGCAGGGTTGGCATAACACAGTCTCTCAGACATTATCATTGCAGTTTTGGGACATCCAAATCTTGTAAAACTGCAGACGTTGTATCATTAGAACAACCGGTAGCCATTTAATCTACCCAATTTCAACCTAAGCACACATCAGACTTGCCACAGACATGTAGGGGTAATTCCTGTATACTGACTGAAATCCAGTATGTCACAATTTGAGTAAGCCCATTGAATTAGTGGAACTTACAAAGAAGCTACTTCACCAAGTATCTACTGATTTAATGAGCCTACTCTAGCTGCAATTTACTCCCGAATTCCACGCACTGAGTGGTATGAGCTAACTTATGTCTATTTTCATTTTGAACTTTACATGTACAAATATTTTACATATCAAGAGTGCACAACCTACAACCTTCATGTGGCCTTATAGCTTTATATGTGGCCTCTAACCAACATCCATTATTACCAAATCTTCCCCCTGCTAATCAGCATCCACAGGGCTTTTCCTCTCCCCTGTCTTAGCTTCAATGAAGCATCCAGGATAGCTGTTTCAAAATATCTGATAATGGTGGCAAAGGAATGCTCCCAAGCATGGCTTAGCTTCCTCCTCCCCCAATTATCTCAAAGCCATCCCACGCCCCTTCACCAGCAGGCTTGAGTAGAATCACTCAGGGCTTCATTACAGAGAAATTGATTTGTATGTTGAAGCACACACTAAAGCTGAGAAGGCTGCCTATTCTAGTGAAGGCTTGCCTCAGTCTGCAGCTGGTAAATTAGCTTGCTTTTGTATTTAGTCAACTGGGAGACAGCATGCCTTTGCTCACATGTGCAATGTCTCAGGCATATAGGCCAGAAAGATTTGTGTGTCTGCCAAGTGGAATCCATGGCCAAAGCATCCCCAGCAGGTGGCCATCGCAATCCATGCTTAAAAACCTCTGATGAAGAATCATCCCCTGAAGAATCATCCACTACCAGTCTTCAATTGGTGAACAGCTAATATTGTCAGGAAGTTGTTCTTCCTAATGATTCGTTCCAAACTCTCTTGTACCTTGAATCTCTTCATTCAGGCCCCTACTTTAGGACCAGGATGAAACAAGTGGCTCTATTTTTCATCATACCCCTTCAGATATTTGAAGCTGGCTACTGTATCACCTCTCAATCTTTTTCTCTCCAGGCTGGAGAAACACAAGATGTTGTGATGCTCTTTTAGACCTATTTCCCCTCACATCTTTTTATTTTATTACATTTCTATCTGTACTTTACCTTAAAATACCACCAGGAGAGTTAATATCAAATTGAACAGGGCAAACATCAGCTTGCTGCAGCTGTTTTTGAGATGCTGTAATTGTGTGTGTGTCTGTGTGTGTGACTGTGTGTATTCTGATATAATTTCTAGGCAGAAATTATACAGAGGCATTAAGGAGAACTCTAAATCCAGAACAACCACTCCCCAATTACAATAGTATGACAGGACTCAACAATGAAATGTCAGCATTTATTGACAGGTGGTAAAGTCAAAATTCTTCAAGGCTCCCTGATTCTTGGAATTGTTCTTGCATGTTTCAGTGGAAGGAATGTTCTGTTTCATTTTTCTTCAGCAGAGGCTTTGTGAGGTGAATGAACTGGAAATCAAGGGCACAGACATCAAAATGGGAGAGGTTTAGTGGTGTCTTTGCCTTCTTCTTCCTCTTCTGTGACCATGATGCTTATGCCCTGGAATAGACATAAACAGTACCTTTAGTATTTTAATAGATCCAAACTGAGCTGCAGTAGACAGGTAGAGATATAAATGCCCTAGATTGCATACTGCAAGGATCTTTTACCTTTTCTTTTACCATGGCCTCGTCTTCTCCGCCTCCTTCCTGATCCACCTCCACGGCTCCTTCCACGACGTCTTCGACGGTTAAGAGTCAAGCTCTGGCTCCGGCTGGGTCTGAATCTGGCCATTTCTGATGGTAATCTGGTCTTTGTGAGCTCTTAGTAGCTGGAGCACCACCTGTCTTTGATGTGTGTTTCAGAGCTTATGACCTTGTGTGGCATCTCTAACCATTGAATAGGCCAACTACAGTAGCTAACAAAGAGCAGTGATGTCATAGTTCCTTTGTGATGAAATGCAGTGACATCCTTTAAAGCTAACTATTCCTACTTGCCAAGGTAAAAAAAATAAGCTAGGCAATGCAGTATTTGTTACACACAGTATTTCTTAAAAAGAGGCCTCTATGTTCCTATGTAAAAAACAGAAATAGGTGAGTGGGAAATCTCCCAAAGCAGAAAATGGCAATGTCAGTAAAATGTTACATACATAGACATAAATAAATAAAGAATATAACAAAGGGGGATAAACTGAAATGGCAATCAGAAACAATAGCTACAATTGCAGCAGAAATAAAGGGAAAAAACAAAAACAGAACAATAAAGCAATGATATAAAGATTATCAGTGGAAGAAAAAATTATCTGCTGTTAATTAAAATTTCAAAACTGAAAATCTTAAACTGTTGCCTAAGAGATGGAACAAGATGAACCCTGGAGATGGAATGGGAGTGTAATTCCTTCAAAGGGATTCCACCATTCAGAAGGGCCTGTCTCAAATTACGTATAATCCATGTCTTTTTGGTGAAGGCAGCCAGGAAAAAAGTAACTGGAATACCTGAATTATTGGTCATCTATTAATACCTTAATATTATAAATACTTCTGCATACTGAATATGAACTGGTCATCACTATACAAAGTTACTTGCCTCTTTGTTCAATTACACAGCATGTGCAGGAATTAGAATTCTTTTATAACATCTTACCTCCATTTTCAAAGGCCTTTTTAGACACCAAAATGTGGGAGTGATCTTCTCCAAACCCTTGTTAGTATCAATCAATGATTGATTTTGATTGATTGGTTATTATATTTACTTATCATTTAGCTTAGTATTTGTGTGTTTTGTCTGTTTTTGCTCTATGTTCACAGCATAAATTGGGAAGCTCTTGATAAAGGAGGAATGGGCGTAAAAGATAATTTGCTTCAGTTCCTTAATGAGAATGTTGGGATTTGAACACATGTTCAAACCATGTGTTGTACACAGGGCACAGTGGAAGAACTGGTTGCTTACCTGTAGGTGTCTTTCTGCAATCAATTATCTGTGAATTTATACAACTGATTTCCTCCTTTCATGCATATATGCTGTAAACCGCCCAGAGTGGCCTTCAGCCAGATGGGCAGTATAAAAACGAAATAAATAAATTTCACTATGACATTTAGTATGCACATTCCTTTTTATCTGAACATGGCTTCGTGCAGGAATAAAACTTATATTTGTAAGTCACTGTGACCACAAAAGAACCTTAAAAAACCTCAAGGGACCTGTCTGTGTGAAACAAAATCTGAATGTATAACAGTGTGATGCTATTCTGCTGCTGCAGAAAAAGATAATTTGCTTGGATGGGAGACCCCAGACTTAGTATAGTATGATCAGATGCCTTATTTTTGGGCGAGCAGTCATCTGCTTAGAGGGTATCAATTCTTTCAAAACTCTCTTGTTTTTTGAAAGGCTAATGTGCAAGTGGTCATCTTATGCTTCTACCAAGGTGAAAGCTACTCCAAGCACTTCAGAAGAAGATTTGAATAGAAGCAAGTAAACAAAGATCTCAGTATAATGTGGCACGTTAGATGTTAGACATTTTTCAGTTTGGTGTGAATCATCAGACTGGGGAATTACAGTAAATTCTCTCTAGTCCACAACACAGGCCTCCATTATGTGGTGGATAATACTCATTACTATACCATCTTCAAGTATAGGAAATAAGGCACTAATTGGTTCAAAGGGTCCAATCCACCAATGACCACTACTGTCAAACCCCAGTCTCTTTATCTCTCTGATTCAATTTAAATGAAAAGTACAAGGAGCAAGAAAGGCAATCCAGCCTGAGGTATGGCATGGCTGGCAATGTGCTTCAGAAAAAGACACTCAGATGACAGATATTCCTATTATGGTGAACTGCACATTTGGCACATGAGATGCAAATAGTAGTATGAAGGAAGTGTATCTAGGTGAGGCCAAGTTCAAAGCCATACTAGCAGCCAACTGTCTGGGCAGCACTATGGCTGTTTTAGGCATCTAGACAGATAACAGGTGGGAGGTATGTCAAAGTTAGACTGTAAGACGTATTCTGAAAATGCAGGTGCTGTCCTTGTATGGGGCTTGCATGGTGATATTTTTTGGCTCTTCACCTTGAATTTGATGCATCTCAAGTGATGGTCCTCATGAAGGGGTTCTTTCAGCCCTGATACAAAAGCATATAAATTCATTCTGGATTCTTAGCTGCCACTGGTATTACTGGAAATTCTAGAGATCTGATCACTTTTTCCCAGCTGTTCATGCAATAGCTGGGAAAAAGTGATCAGATCTTTAGATTGTGTATTTACACCACAGGTTAGAATACAGTGGTGCCCCGTATAGCGAGGTTAATCCGTACTGGATTAACCTTCGCTATACGAAAACATCGCTGTGCGGGTAAGGAAAACCTATTAGAACGCATTAAACTTAGTTTAATGCGTTCCAATAAGTGTGCAAACTTACCCCTCCAGTGATGTTTTCGCGTCCGGCGGCCATTTTGGAGCCGCCGATCAGC